GGTCGTACGGGGATAGGAACGCATGCTTCACTACTGCTCTGACTGCAGTGGCACTATGTTACAATAGCAAAGACCGAGCGATACGCATATACGAAGAGCCGTGGCCACGCCACTAAAAATGGGTGATGGCGCCCCGTCGGGCAGCAATTAGAAAAAAAGATGGTGGTTTGCTTGCGTAAGATAAGCGTTGTTGAGTGTAAAGCATGCGCAATGCGCTGGAAATCCAGGCGAAAGCGAGGGTCGGCGTCACAAGCGACAGCGGCACTAGAAGAAGAAGAAGAAACAGCAGCAGCAGGAGACATAAGGGCGCACAATTAAAAACACTCATCTCTATTGCTCTCTGCAACACAGCTTCACCTACGCTCGCTTTCCTCTGTGTTCCTCAAGGTCCTAATTTCAGTTCCGAAATCCTTGTGGCAGCCCTGAATATATCCTTACTGCCTCGGCCGGCTTCTGATCGTCAGACCAATCCCCCACCGACCAGTCAACCCTCCGTGAAGAAGCAGAAGCGGTGTTCCGATTATCCATGGCCGTCCCACTAGTTTTGCTGCTCCGTTGGTTTTAGCGACAAAGAAATTGTGAACGATGAATGATCCTCCACTGACCTCGTGGACTTTGCTTTGTATGTGGCGGTGGAAGCTGACTGATGGGCCCCTCTGCAGCCGCACAACGGTGCGTTCATCTCGTAGCGCGCCCGGGCGCAAGTAGGGGCAAAGGCAGGCAGAGGCGGAGCGCCTCAGCCGATAGTTCGTACTCCAGTGATCGGGTCTAGACAGAGAAAAGCGTCGGGAATGAGCACTAAGCAGTCCTCAAACGAGTGAACGATAGTGAAACAGAGAGAGACGCTGGGGCTCATTGGCGAATCGAGGTGTCCTGTCTTACTCTTGAACTAATACCACTGGCACCACTGTCGTTGAGTTCCTCACTTAGCTATTGGTAGCTCCACTATCCGACAGGCGGAAGCGACGCGTAAGCACTTCTCTGTAGCGCGGAGAAGGGAGAAACATGGGCATGAGCCAGTCAGATTTGGCGGTGTCGGAGGCTCTCCAGAACGGAGAAACAATGAACGGTGGCAGTCAGTAATATTACCTCTTCTATCCCTCTCTTTCACTCTCTTTATTATCTTTTTGCCAGTACTAGTTCTTCTGAATAGCCTTTGTCTCCGTCTTAGCATTCGACCATCAGCGCCACGGCTGTAAACACCAATACCACCGACATCGAGGCTCTACTCGTTGCCGCCACAGGGGCTGGTTGATTGGTCAGTCTGTTAATGACATCGCATTGATCTACCCGAGATAGACTTCAAATGAGGCTTGAATACCACCAAAATACTTATCTGCTTGGCTGTCTACTAGGCGAGCTGTTAGCTGTTGTTGAAGCGGCAGCAGCACAAGCAGCGGTCGTAGCTATCCAAGAAGTCTTCTCCTGCTTGCATTCTGCCGCCCTTAGCTCCTTCTGGTCTCCTCGCCTGACGACTCTGCTCTCACTAGCCCTGCTGGCACGCCCGCTGCTTTTATCGCTGATCTTCCTGACTAAGCGTCTGTGACCGTTCTCATTGACCTCTTCAGAGCCCGTTCCCCTCAACGATATCGCCTCAGTCAACATCATTGCTATTGTAGTCACAGCAGCAATCCAAGACGACGTTTCCAAATAGTGCTGAAGTTGAGTCCTTCTGCGCTACGCTTGCAAGTTCGGTTCTGTTGGGACTGCGGTGCTGCGATGCTGCCCAGCCGCGCTGTGCTAGCTGCCATGGTTCAGATGTGTTCGAGTTGCTTGCCAACAGGCGGCTATCTCTTATCTGATCTGGGCTTGACATGGACGTCGACTTATTCTCACTGCTCTCCTCAGATTAATGGCCTACCTCTCCGCACGAGAAAGTAGAGCTTTCGCCAATCTTTTCACGCAACAACAGCAACAGAAGATACGATAGCAGCGTTACAAACAGCGGCAGCAGCTTGACTAGCGGTAGCGGTCGTGTCAACTGGCATGGCCGCCCTTATACCAGCAGCTGCAGTCTCAGCACCGTGTATAGCGATGTTAGATCAGCTATCCGCTAAATTAGATTTTGCTTTTAGAGTAATTTTGTGGCTGGTTGTTTCATGGGATCTGCTTCACCACTCCGCGACAAGCCCGCCTGTTCGCTTGTTTCTCGCTGCTTCGCCAGAAAGGCGACTAGATCGCTTGCGCTGCAGAGTGACTGAGAATCTTACGAATGTGTCAACTTCGCAGAGAGGGGCTGCGGCTGGTACTGGCTTTGCTTGCGGGGCTCCAACTTTCCTCTGCTTAAACGGCGCTGACAGGCCAATGAATCAGTAAGTCAACCGAGGAAAAGAAAAACTATGGGAATAAAGGAAGTTGTGATTCCGCTTCAGGCAGGGGCGGCACCGACTGCAATGGTAACGACGACAACGACAAAAGTGTGTTGATATACATTCGCGGGGGAGGTTGGATGCAGACGGTAGATAGAGGATGGGAGGTAGAACCACGACTAATGCTGAAAGGGGTTCATCCTGTTGTGGCCACTGCTTGGTCAACACCACTGACTTCAGGACTCTGCCGCTGGCCTGTACCATTGAGAAGCGTTAACTGCGGCCAATCATTCGCCGCAGCCTTCCGCTTACCCGGTTTTTTAGTTTCATCGCACAATGCTCCCGCTGCTATTAAACTCGCAAAGACACCCTGCTATTTGTCGTTTTCGTCTTCCTCACCTAGTCCTTGTTGGTCCTCTTCGTTTGTCCGCTTCTTTCTTGATTCGTGCGTTCATTCGTTGGCATGTCCACTCGGTAGACATAGTTACCGTAATGGCGTCATTGGTCCGGATATAGCACTTCGGTACAATTACAACCGACCCTTCGCTTCCATATCCAGCAGTAAGTGGCCACTTGTTTGTATTGAATCCGACTGCCGCTGATGCTCGTGGTCGCGAAGCTGGTGTTTGCAATGGTAACGAATCTAACCGGCAAGAAAAATAATATATTGGCGATACTCCATTCCGTTGGGCAACGAAGGCTAAGGCACAGGAAGGTGAGGAGTCAGAAATCGAATGGGGTATGTATGGGCTGCTATTGCTGCTGCTGCTGCTGCTGCTGCTGCTGCTGCTGCTACCGTTGGCTTGCAGCGTGTGCATGTAACCGATGGCACACAAACTAGGGTGGGACGGTGGTAATTCAGGCATAGGCATGGCGAGAGGGCTAGGAGGTCCACCTGCTCGGTCGTTCGCAGGTCTGCCGAAGCTATCAGACTAGCATACCCGCAGCTAAAGCCGAACAGGGGCAGTCCAAGTCGAAGGCAGCCGACTGGGAGAGAAGAAAGAACTTCTCGTATGGCAGCCGCTCTCATTCTTCCCGCCAACGTAAGAATGGTTGTTCGTTCTTGCCTTTTTGCTTGCCAAAATCCGTTTTGCCTTAACTCTAATTCAAAGTTGTCTCCCTGGTCGTTCGGAACTCCTGATGCTTTGGCCGATCACCCCTTATGCGAAAAGAGGGCAGGCGAGTGAACGAGGTGGGGAGTCAAGTGGATAACGGAAGGCAGTGCCACCAGTGCTCCCCGAGCCTCCGCTGTCACCACGGAGTCGCTGAAAGGGACCGCACGCCGCCTACAACTTTTCCTCGAAAGCCAGAGGCTGTGATGGCGGCCGCAGCGTATCGCAGATCGCCGGCGATGCCAGTCAACACGCTGCACTAGCCGAAGAACAGAAGTCGACGTGAGAGAGAGAGAAAATCGAAGTGGATAAGAGAGTGACAAAGATAAACGGAGAAAGGAGAATCGCGCCAATTCCAACTTTACAGATCATTGCCCCAACCTCACCGCCAATATTACCACCGTCACCAGCGCCACTCCCGGCGTCCATCACCAACAGCAACCGCAGCGTCCGTGCAACCCAGAACCTTCCTCCCAAATACGAGACCAATCTGCTAGTTCGCCAGGCAGTCGCTGGCGAAGTCCTTCTTTTGATCTAGGAGGTCGGTTCCAAACGGGACAGTGGTTCGCGAACTGCCGGCAACGTCGTTAAGTTTGGTTGCACACGTTCCTCCCTTTCCTCTAAAACGAGCCTTTTTGCTGTTCCCAGCCGCGTCTCTGAGTAGTTCCCGTACTTAGTTATCGCATGAGCTGCTAACAGACATAGATTCGACCAACTAAGTAGCGAAGCCAGTAGCAGCACGAAATTGCATTCACTACAATGCGACGTCGTGTTACGCTCGTTATTCCCTTGTTCACTTTACGAATATGGGACAGTTTTTTCTTAGTCTTTTAACTCGGACTTCGCCCACGACTCGCTCATGATAAAACGGGTAGAAAAAAGATTTTCAAAAGGATTTCAAAATGTTCTCATTTTCCTTTTTTTTTTTTTGTCCCTTTACAGTACTGTTATTTTTATGACAGGTTAGTATTTTGTCTTATTTTCACGTGGCTCTGGTTAGTTTGTCTGTACGATCACCCGTTGCTGAACTTGTTTACCAGCAAACTGTTAGGCAAGCCATGGTGGCCTTACTCGATGGACGTCCCTCGACTTTACGTCAGATCGAAGTGCACTACCAGAGGCTGGGTTTGAGCCGTGAATGCCTTTTGTTTCGATTTTTTCTATTGTGGCAAGCCTTATGTCTGTGAACATGTTCAAAATAGAAGCGGGGAAGGGAAGGTAAAAGGGTTATGGATTTTAACATTGGCGGCAGCAATGTTATTGCTGGTACGACTGCTGCTGCTGCAGCCCCCACAACGTCGGCCGGTCGCCCCAGAAGGCCTGCAACAGCTAGCATTCCCGCCTACTCATCTATAGAAGTAACAGGCACTCCTTATATGAAAAACTTGGACACATTTGATTAGCTAAGAAGAATGGAAACAGGCACAACGTAAGCGAGGCCGCGCAAATAATGCATACAAATCACTTTTTTGAAGAAACTATCTATAGACAGACTGTATATATACATATATGAACTATCGTAAACATGCATAAACAAGGCTTTATAGAAGAAATATATATAACAATTATGTTTACTTACCATCAAAGCAGAGCATCAAAGCAAAGCAGGAAAAATCATCGGGTGTTGTGTCGGTAACCACAACACAAGGAAGCCGGCCGATTTCCCTTAAAAATGGCTGTGTCACGCGGGTGCGTGAAGTGCCTGCGGGATCGCTATTCGCTGTGTATTATAGTCAAGTAGCAGGCAGCGATTTCAGAAGTAAGTTTGCGATAGCGTTTGCATTAGAGTTCACTGGTGTCGACCCGTTGGTCGGACGTTGAGGGGGGCTATTAATGCTGACACCATTGCAGCGGCAGCAGTAGCGGCGGAAGTTAGTTTCAGTCAAGCGGCGCGCCCCGTCTGCCAAGCGATTGCGCCCGGTTTCGCTATAAGAACATCGCAAAAGTTAGTCTCTGTGAGACGGTAAAACCGGCCGGAAACGTTATAGGATAGTGAGAGCTCGTACCGAGGCAATAAGTCTAATCTTAAATGAAACTTCCGTCGGGTCGTATCCGGACTAAGCTCAACCGACGCCGTCCGAGATGGGCACCATAGTGCGAAAGCAGCAGCAGGACGAACGGCGCTTTCAGGAGTGTCGCTGACGGCAATAGCATTATACGAAGAAATTGCGGGCGGCTGAGGGTCGTCGAATAGTAACCGCTTATTTTTCGGGAAAGTAAAAGTGTGAACAGACCCATTTCTGCTGCGAAAAAAAGGAAAAAAGAAGTAGACCATCTATAGGGATATCTGCTCCAGAGAAGGGTGCTGTTGATTTTTCCGGTTTGAGCTCGGCTCAGCGTTTATGTCGTATATATATATATATATATACACGTATCCGTGTAAATGAAACATTAACATTGCTTCATTACTTTCGTTTCTGACAAGTTTAGAAAAAGCAATAGAATCGAAACAGTGAAAGCTGCACTCGTGGTGGCCGCTTATGCATGTGTCTACTATAGCATCTATTAGATTTACACAGGTCCATAATACCCAGTGCTTCGGTTTGTTTTGTTTTGTTAGTGGTCATACCTCCAGTCGGCTATGGGATTTTTTCGAGTCTCAGGTAACAGTCTGCCAAGCAGGACCCAAGCGAGCTTCATTGCCGGAACTCGGCTTCGGGCCTTGTGGCAGGAAGGCGCTTCTTGTGGCTGTTATTACACGAGTGTTCTAGCCGTGACATAGGTTATTGGAGAGACGATCAGGGTGTCAGCTTTTCTAGGCTTAAATGCCCGTTGCTCTGGTTAGTTTGCTTAGTACAGCCGTCGCTAGAATCGGCATTGTTCTTGAGGAGCCAGTGCTGAACTTCTACAACAAACAGATTTAGATAGCACAAGTAAATGAATATTCACTTGTACACTCTGCCGTATACTTGGAATACTTCGGAATTTCCTACATGAAAATAAGCAAGGCCTAGTCAAGCACTCATTCTATTTTTTGTCCACTTAGAACGTGCAATATTATAAGACCTGTTTACTACCTTCGACAAGCCGCACCTTGAGTTTTACAATCGTGATACACATTTTATTAAACAGTTGTGTAGAACCATCGAACTCGTCTTGGCTGGCACAGGCTAGCGCAATGCATACTAGAGATGAGTCACAAACGTAACTCATGAGAAAACTAAAGAACGATTTTTTTTAAAAGGTAGTGCCAGGGAAAGGTTTTCCTTTTCATGTTTTAGCCATATCCTGTAAGGAACAGTAGTAGCAATAATGGTGCTATAATGATCCACGCAGATGGACAGAAACGGCCACGGAGTCTTATCCTGTTACTTGGTTGTTCCTTTCGTTGTCTCTCCACTTGCAGTGATTGCTTTTATGCGTACAGAACGGTCTCTCAACCACAGGACGGGAGGCAGCACACAGGCGATGTTGTGACGTTCGATGGAGAACTTCACGCAGGGTCAGGTCAAGGGAAGATCTGTGGGAACAGATGGGGTAAAAAGCAAAAGGCGAAGGCTAAAGAGGGCAGTACGGGACCGAATAGGGCCGACGCTGACGTAAGGTGCTGGGAGGCATGCAGACACTTTAAATCGACCTAGCATCTGGCGCTCCTACTTTTGATATTGGCCATCGGGATGGGACGCACGGCGCCTTTTGGCGAGTATGGCAAGCAAACGGACGGCGGATGGTAAGCGGTAAACGCCAGAGTGCGACATCAGGCGGCAGATACGGTGCGAGTCTGAAAGAGGCGGGTCATAAGGGTACGTTGTGTATGTGTGGGTGTAGGCAGGCCACAGTGCGGATGGCGGTGGCGGCAGGCCGTCTTCTCATAGCCGAAAAGTTTCCCGACTGTAACGGGTGTCGAGCCGCGTGCCGGGTACTGACACAGGGTACTGCCGGGGTAGCGCCGCCTGCGTGATTCTCTTGGGGGTACAGAGGCTGGTTGAAGCTCGAAGAAGCACGACATTTGACGAGACCACCCTGAAGCTGCTGCCCGGCAGTCAGGCGAATGGCCCATTCTGTCCAATGGATGTCCAATAAATGCGCGTTTTGACAAACTGCTTCAACTAAAGGATACCACCATCCCAACCATAAGCCCCCATTCTTCAGTACACCATGGACTGCATTCGGTTTTCCCCGGGCGCCCATCGGATAGCCCGTTCTCTAAGCAGATAGTATCTACTAGGGTCGCCGTTGCAGAGCTCTAGGTACAATGCGGAGCTTACTGTTGTGCTTCTAATAGCCCACCGTGGCTCCAGTGAGCAAACAAACGATCTCGCTAAACTGCAAGATTCACATTTTCACTACAGGACTTGGAAAGAACGCACAACTTGTTTGAGGTTGTCATTTGAAAGCATTATATCACTAAGTAAATGCGTGAAAATTAATTGAATACGTATTGAATACGTTTCAACTCAATACCTGTAAGTATGATAACGACGGTGGATAACCATATGCACGCTAACGTATCTTCAAGACCATAATTCTATCAGACGATATAACTACTAGCTACCTCACAAACTTCTGACACATTTGCAACCATATTTGAGTCCTAGGCGTAGTGGCGATAACAGGCATTTTATCCATTTAGACTTTTACCTCGACACTGCATGGCTATCAAAATTCATTATAAATTTTGAAATCACAAATCCTTTCTAAACGTGTAAATAATATTTTCAAATGAGATATATTCTTTTTTCACATAAATCTCAAACTGCTTTGTCTGGCATGAGAGCTTCAGGATACTGTCTCGTTGGCAAATTGATGCGGTGTCGAGTTCTTCTGCTCCGACAATAGCATGAGAGATAATCATGTCCGACGTAAAATGGACACGTTCTTGATAAAGGGCGTGGCAGAGACGATACCCGACGGCCCTTTTGAAATTCTTCTCTAAGGCGCGGCCATATCTTCGTAGAAATAATCGCTAAGCGAACATCATTCAATTGTCAACAAGAGAGCAGTGACAAGGGCAACAGAAAAGTTGATTCAGCCATAAGATACCTCGTGTTTATGATCACCTCTAGCTATGTTTTTACGTTTGTGCGATTCTCATTATAATGTAGTCATTCTTTACAGAGCTTAGCATGCACAAACATTACAACGAATCGGGCCTTGCTCTATTCGGCTGTCGTTGAATTGCCCTATACTTGGCTAGTTTTTCTTCCTGAAAGATTAACTTACTTTTATCCGATTTGATGAATCACAGTATTTTTATGAGAACCAGGTTGTGCAGCATGGAATATAACACATATAGGGTGTTACTCTGAAGCAGAAAATTTCGACGACCTACGAGGTTTCGCGATATGAAAAGCCTTTGCAAGGCAATACAGGTAGTTTACGATACTGGAATATCTGAAGAACTGCCACACGAGGTTATAACTAAAAAAATGCCAAGCAACAGTTTAACAGCCTTTTAACTTTTGAGGGATTTTCAACCTGTATCATAGCTCGTTGTCGAGCTCTGGAGTCCCTCACAAACCTACTACGGAAACCGTGAAGCAACATCACAGCCTCCCCCACTTACAAAACACCTATGAAATAAGCGCAGTACCTTCTGCACTGTTTGGCAACGGGCTCTTCTACCTTGAGTAAGTGGATTCTTTGCTTTGCCTGAAGTATTGAAACAGAGCCCTATTAAGCGGCACCGAGGATAACAGGAAGGACCATATGAAGCTCAGGAAGCCTAAAAGACAAGCCTGGAAGTCGTTGTCGCCTTTGTTGATGGGATGCAACATATTTTTAGTAGTTTACCGGCGTCCTGCTACCGCACGTGTATGTTCTTGCTGTGTATGTATAAAACATGGGTATATATACATGCTCGTATGGCAGCTCTGCAAGCCGACATAATTACTAATATTGGCACTGATGCTTCAGGCATGCATTATACATGATCTATATTATGCAAATGCATTGACGCCAAGGCGCTGGATAAATTGATAAGTAGGGGATGGCGAAAGAAGGGCAACACGGAGACATGGCCAGGCTTATACAACAGAAGCAACGTGAGACGACAATGTGTGCGTGATGTGCAAGCGATCTATGGCGGTGTCATTGGCACGCTTATTACGACCACGGGGGTGCACAACAACAAACGAAGTCATCTTGCAATCACAAGGTCATTGTTGAACATTAGGTTGCATCGTTTATAGACAAAAAATGAGTTGTGCTGTACAAGCGATGGAAGGAAAAGGAGCGCAACAAGCTTAACATGTGATCTAATTGTACGCACATGTCTAACTATTTTCAAGTTAGGATTCTGCTCCTATGTGATTACCACGCAGATCTGGATCAAGTTTCGATGAATAAAATTTCAACGATATTGTAAAGTCATCCTAAAACATTATTCATTAATTATGCACGACCACAATACCGGCATATGGCTGTTACTACTTCGGACAAATTTCCATGGATTAGAGAAGACTGTACTACTGCTACGATGATGATTAAGTTGATTCGAATACTGCGTGATAGATACAGGAAAAAAACACAGTATTTTTTTTTCCTGTATCTATGGAGGTATATATATCCAAGTAAGTCATTGTTATTAACGCTCATTCTAAAATTTGCCAAGTTGCCAAACGATTTAATTTTGTCCTGAATTTTTCATTCCTGTCCATAATGTACAGTCTTCTATTCATCCGCACGTGTGTCTCTCGGTTGAAATTTTATTTCTATGCCAATAGGCCAAGAAGCGAAGCTGTTCTGCAAAACGCTGCTATTGCTGGTAACGTTTGGAACGCCAACTACTATCGCTATCTGAGTCCCTAATCAATTTTTTATAGGGAATTTATTACTCAATATTATTTGCTTGTCAGTGTATTTTGCTTTTGCAATGAAGGAAATCAGCTTAACATTTCAACAATACATGAAGCGTAGTGCTATTACATTTGTTATTGGCAAAATGCACCTGTTTATGTTCACCCAGTAGTCCCATAATCAGCAATCTAATTGGTCTATAAATAGCCATGTAGATGAAGTGGGTCTGCAATGATTCTCGGTTCGTTACTAAATTGAGGACGTGTGTGGCGTGACAGGCCAGAGTGAGGCTAGATATGACATTTCTGCCTGTCTCTTTCTTCGCCTCGACTCAATTCGTTTGTCCCCCCCGCCCCTCCTCGGCCATTTGCCTCGGCCACCACCCACGCTGTCTACGTCGAATCAAAGTAGGACGCTTTTTCCATTTAGCGCCTTCCAGCAGACAATTTAAAAAAGAGAAACTACTTAAAAGCTGTCGAAGGGCAGATGACAGTAGAGTATGCGGAAGTGCGAACGGCTGCACACTGTCGCCGTTCACTGACAGCACTTCTGCCGATATTGGAAATAGACGGTCTGGGGAATAGGCGAGGGAAGGGGGAGCCGACTAGCCATGACAGGATAGAATGGAAAAAGAAAGATTATTTTCTCATCAAGCACTTTGGCACAATTCCCGAGTCGACCGGGAGATGACGTGAAGATGGGCAAGCAGGCCAGCCGACTAGCTGAGGCAGGCCTATGCGGTCCAAGGAAGACTCTTCAGGTCACATCATGGGCACTGGTTCTAATTGTACCTCACTGATCCATTTTTCTGTCCTCTTTGAAAAATTAATGTTATTACTATATAGTCCGGTAATATCGTGAATCGAAAAGAGTATACAGAGGCGCACGTTCATATGCACGTATATAGATGTACATGGTATTTATGTACCTACATATAAGTCTACCAAAATACTATTATAAACATAGGACATTTCACTAGAGAGATGGTTGTGGTTAAATAAGATCATTAACTGGCTTAACTTTTCGTATATAAAAGGAAATGCTAAAGAAGAATAGTACAAGAAAACTGGTGGACATGAAATCCAACAAAATCTCCGTCCTCTCCTTTTCTTTGTTTTGTGCACAAAAGACTCTCAGCTCGTCTTTTATGTTGGTTATATTGAAAAGTATATGGGCAAAAGTGTATGTGCCTATACGCGTCTCCACGGTGCGTCTTTTGCAGATGCTCAGCTGCAACTTGCCGGTCATTGTCGTCCCGTGATTGCAAACTTGGTGAACGAACCAACGAACGAAACTGGTAAACGCAGAAACACTCGTTCACAGGAGTGGGACGTGCAGCCATTTGTGTAGGACGTCAATCCTCCTACTAACAGAGGGGCCAGCACGTACTTCCACCAGCATCAGGTCTAGCAGGATACGACGGAATACACGAGTGTTGGAAACAGTTGTAAGCTGCAACCATTGCATTGCATATGCTTCTCTCTCCATGTTTCCGACACATCCCTGTACCCTTTGTATAACGTTGTAACCTCCTTCCCCAAGTTGAATCTTGCAACACAGCTCTGCTCTGTCTGGGCTCCACACAAAAGCCGCGTCAAGCCCCGTAGGACACATGGGGCAAGAAACACAATTAATGAATGTATTTTACCACGGCGTACGCACACACACGCAGATACATCCAGACCGTACACCGACGCCGGAAACTCTCGGGAGAAGTGGAAAAGTGAATAATACGTTGGTGCCACTGCTGCCAGCTCTGCCGCAACATCGACTGCAGTCCAGGGTGTGAGGGCGATCCAAAAAAGGCGACGGAGGCGGGGACAACCAAGACGGCACATAGCCATAATCGTAGCAGCAAGCCGTTATACAATGGTTCTGTGACTGCTGCCTGGCCTGCTCCAAAGTAGCCCACGCCGGCATGAAATAGCAGAAATCAACCTTTGGTGTAGCCTGGGGGGCACAAGGTAGGTGCACAAATAGGACTTTAGGGACAATGCAAAAGAGACAGTTGGACGACTTCACTGAAACCTGGGCCTCCGAAAAACCGAAAAGGCAACACGTTGACATGCATCGGTGTTGCATGATTTTGTTTTTGGTTGTTTTGGTGACATCTACCTTTGGTAAGGGTGGCCTGTGCTACTGGTAGCTCAGCATTGAATTTATCGGGGGCGCACATGAAAAAAGAAAATAATTGAGGTGGTGAAATGGTCGCGAAAGAGGGGTGGCAGCCACCCTCTTCATCAATCATATCCTGCGATAAAAAAGAATAACCAGTATGCGAGCAAAAATCGAAAGCGCAGAAACATCGGTTAATCGACAACGAACTGTTCGAACGACAGCTACTGCAAAGTGCGTTGCACAGCATTGGCTACATCGTTACTAGTTTACTTTGATTTTTATTAAGACCGTTTGTTCGTCTTCGTATATATATGTAGGTAAGCAATAGTTGCACCTATTATAGCGGTTTCACAATGATCAACTACCAATCAAACCTAGGATACTCGTCCGATCGTAAAAATGAAATAGGCGTTCAAGAACGTACTTACATCTTTGCGTCGAAAGATTGTAGACCATTAAAAAGTTTTCCAAGCCCATGAAGGATTACTGTGTGATCGAAATTTGTCGCTTGCCTGATAGAAAATGAAAGAGTGAATTTTCTTCAAAAAAGAAACAGACAAACAATCTTAGAATTTGGTAAAAATAAACGCTCTTTATAGTGTGCTAGGCGTTTTTCTATGTTGCAGCACATAGCTAGAGAAATTCAGTCATCACAACCGTTCGCAGGCCATGTCGCCTGTAAAGATGAGATAAAGGTAGACGATAGAGCTGTCCTTGTATGGGAGCGGTATATCTTATAGGAATAAGTGCCAATGTGTATACACATGAATGTATATACAGATGCAGGTATCCATACATGCAGCGTATGCGAATATGGGCACTCATATACTGCCAGTGGAGACAGCGGTGACTGGGAATTCAGCGGCTAGAAAAAACAGCTTTTCAGAAGACTCATTTCCACTGCTATAGTACCCCAACTTGGATGCGTTAGGTACCTGTGTTTGACATCCAATGTACTGTCCTATTACATTACGCATTTACAGATACAAAAGCACTTAAACAAACGAATGCACGCCGGCTTGGTGGCCCATATCGAACATCGACGCATGTCAATTGCCTCGAATGAGATATCTGTGCGGTTTAACTGTTTAAGGTTCCCACCCCGATTTATTTTTCGTATTCACTTTGTTCTCAAACTAGAGTCAGACTCTATCCAGAGTGAGTGTACAAACTGTACAGGACAGGACAGCGACCTCCTATATGCAATCGATAACAAGCTAGCTAGTTCTTGATAGTAAACCCTACAAGTTGACGTGCTCAGCAAAGCAGCCATTAGGAGCAGCGATCTTGCCGGGGGGTCTGAGTCTACTACGTACAACAGCAGAACAACGGCGGCTGATGGCCGACTAACAACGGAGGGCAGACAGACTGGCTCGTTGCTTGTTGTGGCAATTCGCCAGCCGAGGCCAGTTGTTTCTCCGAATCCGTCCGTACCTGTAATTGAATCTCGAGCCCACCCTAAAATGGGACGGACGCGAATGAGAGGACGGACACGTTTACAGGTCGGCTAAACTTCAATCGAAGGCTGCAAGAGAACGGAGGAAGGCGAAAAAAGAAATGCGGAAGATGCTTATCGGTATGGCCCCCAGTATTCGACAGACAAAGTAGTCAAAATAGTGGCGTAAGAGGAAAGAAAGATGCCCCCTTTCTTATACCCCAATTCCAAGTTTTGAGCAAGTGTTGCATTTTGCCATTATCTTTTCTGTCCATTGGTGGACAGCTTGAGAGCAGGCCTGTCTACGGCATAGAGACCGCTCCTACTCGTCGAACGTGTTGCGCACAAATTGACCCACTCAATGGAATTCACGCTCAGCGAGTTTCTTGTAGCGTCCGTGGGTGCGCCAGTCGAGTGCCAGCGTAATGGTGGTATGCTAGCCAACTCCCAAAAGAAAAGCTATTCTCCCAGTGACCTGGTAACGTACGTGCCAAACGGCCAGCATTCTTCTAACGTTAACGGAGAAGAGTCTTTCGTTAAGAAGAGCATCTCCAGTTCGAGTCTGTCTTGCCAAGCGAACAGTTGTTCTACTTGCTTCAAATGATAAAGGAAAGACAGGAAAGAAATAGCTCGAGTCTTGAATAGTTGTTGTTGGGGTGGGAGGAATTAGATAGCTGCCTACACGTTAGCGTCCATCTGCAGCCTTCTCGACTCACGCGCGCCCCCAGATGCTCGTCGTGCTTGACAAAATTATGTGTCGCCATAGCTATAAATAAGCTTTAGGCTAGTGAAGTGTTTAGGTAGCATAATGCTGCCCTCTTAACTCCTCGTTGAGACTGGTTCCTGGTCGTGGATTTGGTTGTTTGCTTCAGCAGTGCCGGGGACCTCGAAAAGACGCAAGGCGTATATCAGGATCGAAAGACAAAAAGGAACCAGCGAATTAGCTGAAGTCCAACCGCCAAGCAACAGAACTCTTCAGATCGTTCCTTTCTTATAATTGTGCCTACATCTTATTTCTTTACTGGAGATTGAACGTCCACCTAGTACCAACTCGACTCTATTTCAGTATCAGCCATGGTGGGGTTTAACAACAGTGCCGTATTCCAGGCCCTTTTTTGGGGGATTTTTGAAGGTGAGGCCAGCCTGAGTGAGCCTTTGCTCTCTTGAACTTTTTAGCGTAGGGAGCGCAAATTGGCCATCGGGAAGTGACTTTTGTGGTGGCTGTGGTTCTCTTCTCAGAGAGGTTTAGAGGCCACAGTCACAAAGGAAATGTTTGGTAGTGGTGGGGCCCAAGGCAAGGTCATCCACCCGCTACCAACATTGAATTGGCCGTTCAAGTTGAGCTAGCCATTCATTTTATCAGGCCGTAGTGGCGCTACCTTCTGCTTCAGCTCCGGTTTTTCCACCCATGCCGTCATGTGCCCCTGGTCTTCATATTCTTTTTCTATTCTCTCTCGTGTCCGTTTCTTTCTTTCATTCAATGCCACCAGTTATGCCAAATACTTATTGAATATTTGAATGAAGGGACGCAGTGGCTAAGCAATGATAAGGGCACAGTCTGGCGAAAGACCCAATGACGCCCTTTGTCGGGAAAACAGGTTGGCTTGCGTCGCCTTGGCGCAGTCAAGCTGACCGAGGTCGAACTCGCTTCCAACCTTTGAACGCTGGCCAGTATTCGAGATCTTCTTTCCTTCTGAGGGCGCGCGAACGGATGAACAAACGCACTGTGTGGCTGTCTTTTCAATCCCAGCGGCCTTCGGTGTGCGTCTGTGTCTACTGCTACCCCGCTTACTCTCCCGGCCCTCCTTTGCAGCACAACAGCCGCGTACAATGTATCTTGCCCGCGCAGAAGGAGGCGAACGGATACAGCGAGATAGGGGACCTAGGGATCTTCCGAGGGCATGCATTAGCCGTACCATACATTTATGGAAGAAACCACGCCAGTTACGGTAAAAGGCTAGGGGCTGAAAAGAGGCGGGGGAGAAAAAGCGATAGGCGTTGTGACGAATTTGATTGGCGTAGTGAGTCTATAATGCCAAGTACTTCAGCGCAGTACATCTTTCCTTGCAATTTCTTGTCGGATACGGTTGTTACGCAGAAAGTACTTCCTCTGTAGAACTGCCTATTTCGTACAACAAGACAGACAGATAAAGCAAACTTACAGTAGCATTTTTGGTCCTTAATCTGATCTACCAAGCAGGACATAGCGGTCAGTACCTAACAGCAACACAATTTAGGTGGAATTCAAACTGGTATTGCCACGCAGCCTCTATATATATATATATATATCGACGTGTTCTTAATGGAGGCTGCAACAGTCGTGATGTAGGCAGACAAAAACCTCTGTCATTACTAGTGTGTCGCCACGTAAATCGCACGTCTAAACAACAGTGACATCCTACAAGAAATAGGCCGAGAAGGAGACAGCATTTTTTGGCTGCATTCCACTGTATCTGGATAGCAGCAGTGGTACACGTACGTAGGAGGCAACCCATGGGAGAATGCTGCAGTCCAAACGACAGATCGTCAAATCCGCTGTGTCGAACGTCGTCCGTATTCGGATTGGCGACGCTTAAGAGAGCGATATATATAAACTTCTTCTTGAAATCAAGGAGATACTAACTCCTTGGAATTGAAAACAGGCCGAGATTGGAGAAATGGATTGGATGTCCAACATGTTATTTGTTATGCGAATAGTAACAGTATAGGCTATTCCTCCGTTGTATTTGCTTTAAACATAACCACACCATGCTGACCACCACATGACATATGGAAAAAATTCGTCTCTGAACCCTTCGGTAATGAAAAATTACATTTCATACGAAAGGGAATATTAATTTCTTCTACTGTAGACTTTTATTTCTAAACATGTGTACAATCATTTGGGGCATTGTGAGAGATAGCGTAATCTTGCTCACTATTAAATTCGTTCGGAATAAATATCGTTCCAGGCAAGCGATCGCCTTGCCAAAAGCAACGTTGAAGGCAACATATTGAAAGCAGACGTACGTATCTATTTCCACAATTAGAATAGTCAGACGAAATATTACAGTGTGATAAAATCGTATGTTATACGAGTAGACTATTCTATAGAACTTAGAACTAATTTCGAATATAAAACCCTAATGAATTGTGCTTACTGCCATTCTTTGTTTTTACATCTGTATACAAAGCACGAAGTTTATTTATAATTTCTTTAAATTTAAAATTTATAATTATGCTTTGACATAGGAACAAAATAACTATTTTATTAGCTGTGTACACTTAAGCTGTCAAGAGCGACTACAGAGAAAGAGCACACACCCATCAAGACTTTTAATAGCTAGACTGGAATTCCCACAAAATACATCTTTAAAACTTAGCTAAAGCGATCAAATTATACAGTACCTCACGCGCTACTTCACTGACTGAGGGCTGACAATGACCTACGTATGTATCGCATTCGAGGTCAGCGATTGAATAAGTGATTTAGTTATTTCAAACCTGATTATGCCTCATTCAGCCTTGTCGTATGTAATCATTGCACGAGATCTCAAAGGAACGTTCGAGTGTCACAAATTCGATAGGTTTGCTGTGTGCGCCATCTGGCGGTAGGCACTCGATGCGAAGTTCATATTAAGATGATTTGCATACATTTTATCTAGTCACTTCATAAACGCACGGTATTTACTGAATGAGCTGTGTTAGGAAATGTTTACGATGATGTTAGAGAGCTTTCCTCTGCACTTCGGACGTTTGTCAATTACCGAACATTTGCTCTACGTACAACATCAATGATTGTATCTGATTTGTTAAAAGGCGAAGCATTACTTTCCCGATAGCATCACGTCATGAGCCACGTGCTCCTGAAAAGCGTGACGTTGGACCGTATTCAAAAATTAGCGTGAACGATGCGAATGTCGTAACCTCAAAAGCATAATGGTTCCTTTGTGTACATATACAGCCACTGTTCCAGCCAAATCATCGCCGGTCATAAATTAAACTGCGACGACTTTTCGATGTGGTCGCTTCTGTTGACATCGTTATTCGTTCCACGATGGTTATTTGTCGTTGTAGTCATGGTTCCTATTGCACAAATGGTATCTTCCTTTTCGTTTCGGCTGTTTCCACAAATTAGAGGCGAATGAACAACTCTCAAGTTTTTGGGCCGTCGATAGAAACGGCTAGTAGAGGCAGATCTAGCATTACTTACAGTAGACCTTTCTTATGTTCAGGTGGTTCCCCTTTCGAGAACCTTCTCTCTTTAGGTTCCTCGCTTTGTCGCTTGCGTTCGCTCTATGTCTGCTCGTTCTTCGGCAGTTCTGTTAGCGACGCTAGCAAGGGTCGCAGAAGCCGTCGATTCCATCTCATCCGCTGCTGCTAAAAGCCGTACCACTGCAAACTAACTGGCTGATGGCTAGACTCGGGCGATATGCTCCTATTGTTCTCCTTTTCCCTTTCTCTCTTCTGTTCATCATCGCGCTTCTGTCTTGAAGAATGTAAAGTCTTATTTTAGACTTTAGGCTTATTAAAAAATCGCTTTTACCTCGCACTGCCAGATAGCTTCTGTGTGTCTAACTGTGGCAGTGCCAGAGGCAGCGGTTCTGTGCAAAATCCTTTGTTACCATCGTCGTTTTGTAGCGAACATATGTACAAGCGAACTGCGAGTAACTATACAGATGATTAACAGCGGAAGGTTTCCCCTCTAACTAGCTCGTCTATCTAGGCTAAAAGGGGAAACATGAACGGATTACTTAACATTTATAGCGTAAGTATAATATTATAAATAGGCCAATAGTGAACAAGGATCACGAGAATCATGGTACTGGGCTCTAGACCCGGTCACGTGTACAGATAAAAAAGATTTAGAACGGAAACCTACCATGCGCATGGCATCACATTTAAGAGGTAAGATAACTGCTTCCTAAGTGTTTAGGTAGAGCGAAGCACTGTTGTACGTAAATATTGAACACCCTCTATGCCATGTCGAAACGGAAGCAGAAAGAAACCAGGAATCGGCATATCTATCTCTTTAGGTAATATATTTAGTAGAGCAATTATAAGGGCCAAAAAGATGAGTATACAATGGGTGTGAATAAGATTTGACGTTGAGCTGCATTTCGTTGCCACCCAGTGCGCAGTCTATTTCTGGTGGTTTCATCAAAACTTAATGGAATCAATGCGCGTAACCGTATTAGTTACACAAAATATCTAACAATGATCGGCGAAAAAAGCAATTTGACTAAGTGCGGAGCGCAGTTACAACATATCTAGGAGATAATCAAGCTATCAGTACAAAACAGGCTGTCGCGTCAAGCCACTAAGACAGCATGTCCAGCGGTCACCAGAACAAAAAATATAATAATTCAGCGCGTAGCACTGAAAATAAAGAGAAAGGGGCACCGCCACAGTATGAGCCGGTGACAACGAAGAATGGATCGCGAGCGACTGAAAAAAAGAATCCTCAGGCGTCTCCTTCTTCGTACAGGACTCCTTTTTTAAGACCGCCTTATGAGTCTTCCATTCTCTCGTCGTCTGCTTCGACCCTGTTTGTCAAGCGCTTGCACATTTTGTGCGCGCGGCTTTTCGAAAAAACTGCAAACACTTCCCCATTTCTATCGCTTTGGATTCCTGCTCCCGTTAACGAAGGAAAGGATGCAACCCAAAGCGAAAAAAAATTACGAAAAAGAAAGCAGAATGTAAAAAAGAAAAGGTCGTCATTGGCGTGCGAGCGCACGAATGAGCTACAGAACTATAGCCGCCGGCTAAACAATGAGTTTTACAGATTTAACGCAGGAAATTCACCGTTTCCTGCTACAAGGAAGAGCGGAGCGTCAACGGCAGCGAGAGAGAGTGACAACGTCTAGAAGCTGGCGCTGCTAATGGCAAGCGTTAGTGCCATATTAAGGCAAAGCTAAGATGTCAGTTTCCCTTCCAGTTACATCCAGCCACCATCCTTTGTCCAATAACATCTCTATTCAAACAGCAGCAGTGGTAATGCCAAAAGAGTGTTAGTTTTAAGTTACGTTATCTGCTGCTGACTCTGTAGCGTTCGCTCCCCGTGGGTGTTTCTCGCCACGTAAAACTCGCTCTTATATCAATAGATCATATATAGCGATAGCCTTAACGACCGGTTCTTTTTTCTTCACTTTTCATCTCAGCACCCTGTTCGTCAACTGGCAGCTTTTAGCACAGTTTTCTTCTCTAGCTGTGCTAAACGAATGATATGAAACATCAAAGTCGAACTCGAAAGCGACTTTCTCGCTGGTTTGAAACAAGTAATATTAAATGCTCTCACTAAAAAATATTGAAGGCCGGATCACAAACGTTTTACATCAATAAGAGCGTTCAGTGGCCATCAGATGTACTTAATGTATCGTGTTAGACAATACTAAGGGACAAATCACCATGTATGCATATTCTAATCATGAGACATGCACATACAACAAATGTTCTCTATTTCTCTCTCTAATACTTCTGATAGAAGTTTTCGCGCTGCTAACCCGAACGGGCTATTATCGCAATCACTGCCCAACCATGGTATCTTGCTGGCCTGTGAAGTTTGTACTGTTATAATATGGACGCCAGTACCTTGTATAGTCGCGATCCTTGTTCCATAAGAGCGTCCCCCGAAACCAGATTTGTATGAACATATGTTTATGTACTTGAGGACGATATATTATTACGATTACTATATCGGTTCTTTTGTTTCTAGAAACTCAACATATAGGAACTTTAAGTGGCTGCCGAACAGAGTATCCGGTTGCTCTTTTCGCACGCAACAATGCGTCATGATGCTATATACCTTCGGAGGTAAAGTCGCTCGTAAGGGTTTATACTCAGTCGATTTACCTTGCATCAGTTTGTCCTTTAAGTAGCAAGACTCCAAGCATTTATACGTTTACCTTGAACCAGGCACGTGTGATTTTTCTCTCTGTTCTTATACACTTCCGAGTGCCCCAAAGCTTTCCAAACTTTGCCCATATGAAAAGTTTTGCGGCTGGCCACGGGATGTCCCGTTTTGGAGAGATAAATAAGCGCTCTTCCGTGTCCATAAGGCCTTTTATATCGCCTATAGCAAAGATGGCAATGATCGCGAGTGGAGTTAAAAGGGGAAGACTTGACCATCCTACTATGCCCCCATAATTCTTTCTCTGTAACTAGCTCCTTATGCGGCAATTCATCCCGAGCCCTGGAGCCAACTTATATCACTGCGTCTGCATGGTAATGTCCTCCAATGCAAGGTGCAGGTATTATTATGGTAGTAGGCCGTCCTTGGCTGGTTATCTGAAGAAGACCGCTTCAGAAAATACTATGCGATTTACGTCTAGCTGGAAATAATTTCCTTATAAATCACAGAGCGAAGATCGTTAAGGAACTCTGTCCTGTATCAGACCCGACAAGAGCTCCAGCGCCTGATGACCTGTCTCGGAAAGTGAGGTTTTTTTGCATGACTGATGCATGCTTATTGCGGAGAGAGCGTAGAAAATCTGCGAGATATTGTACTTGTGTTCCGTGAAATGTATGAATCATAATTTAAAATAGCTTTGCAAGTCACACTTACCAAAGCAAAGATTCAAAAGGTAACTTCTTGCTGTTCTGCTTCGATTTGCATATTATACATTTAGTAAAATGCTATTAGAGAACCTGCGTGGAGCACAATTTATGTAAGCGAAGTTAAAATTAATTACCTGACTTACTAATTGTAGTTATCTTAAAACTTGACTTGTGAAATAAAGGATTAAAAAACGCAATTTTTATTGGAGGTCTAATTCCTATTCTAGGTGAGGGAGTTCTCTAAAAAATTAAAAAAAAGCTCGCAGAAAACTTCATTAATAGCATCTATAATCATACCCAAATTCAAACCCTTTCTAACAACTATTGGATGTTACTTTTTATTAATGCTTCTGGAGCCATCATTAATAAAAATTCACCAAAGGTATTAATAATGTAAAATGTATTTTACCAAAAGATGCAAATAAGGTTTAAATGAATTAACAAGTCATGTTTCTATCTGTTCTTCAGCCAAACATATTGTCTACCTGTAGGCATTAAACGAGCGGCAAGTTCATTATGCGTTTATACATATACGCTAGTAGGAGCTTCGACAAAAAAGTATAATCGATAGTGTGCTACCACCGTTAGTGTAAAGAGGACCCGGGGACGAGTGATTTCTAATAGAAATTGGATTAGATGATGCTGGGCATTTTAAAAGAGATACCTGTTTTAAGACAGGGTCCTTAAAGGGGTTTTGAACCAAAGGTGACGAAGAACACAATGCGCGGCAGTCAGTTGACCTGCGAGTACCTATTCGCGTTCTACGAACCCGCACTGCCATAATATCCGAATAGCCGGCGAAGCAATTTCAGTGCTGTTACACTCACGAGAGCTCTTGTTACTGCTGCCTCCAGAGTTGTTACTTATGGCAGGGCTGTGGACTTACGAACTGTCTGAGGAAGAAAGTGAATGAAAAAAGAAGTGAGTGGAAAAGGGCAAACCAATAGGCAAGCGAACGAGAACTGTCTTTCCATCAACCAAAATGTTTCCATTTTTGTTGAGACGGAGGTGTTTGTTTAGTTTCCTGGCTGTGTCTGGACAAGGACAGGAGAAGGCCAAGTCGGGCACGTATTATGGAAAGAATGAAAAAGAAGGAAGCATAGAAGCGACAGGCGACAGAAGGTCAAGGTTTAGGAAAGCGCCGTTGATGTGAAGAGGTAGGGATGACAAATACGAAAACGAAAATGAAAGAAAAAACGCAAAAGGTGAACAAGCTGGAATGTCAGGAAAATAACGGGAACATGATCGAAAAGTGAGTACGCCTCAAGTCTGACAATTTAGTAAAGTACTTTAACTTATCTTTACCAACAAATATGCTTACACGTAAAGACATGCGCGCATGTCACTTGTTTTAGAGAACCTACAGTGATTGCAAAACCATATAAAACGATAAATTGATCCTTTGTTGTGAGAGAAAAGAGATGAACGGAGATTTTCATAGTGTTCCCGCATAGGAAGCGCACAGAACGTGTTTCTATGCGGGAACGCTATGAAAATGTATACTCATACGTTTTTTGATGAAAGTGGAGAAGTGATATGAAAAAAGCTATTGTAATTAATAACGGAAAACGAGCCTGTTGAATTACCGTTAGCTATGTGTTAAAGAAATACACGAGCCGCAGTTGATCGCATGGAACGCGGCTATATCTAACACGAAGCTAGGACTGGATTATTATATGGATTAGAATACTCATATATAACAGTGCGAAAAAGGGCGCGGTAAAATATAGTAAATGCCGTGTGGGCGTCCAGCCTATAAAACTAATTTACACTGATGTCAGACCTCTCAATACGATACTAAGATATATGCGTTGCCAGTATATTATAAATTCAGCATAAAATGGCTCTATGCAGTGTATAAATATCCTTCAACGGCGCGAGCAAAGGTGAGACATCTTTATAATACTGAATAGTGTTTCCCAATGTATATTATAATTGTGTTTAACGAATTTGCTCTGGTCCGAAAATGAAACGTAGTGCCTGATATGTGCAATGTTTCAAGACTGTCGACAATTCCATCTTGGAACTTTAACGTTGGCAGGTTACGACTAAAGCACTGATCGTAGATAACACCTGCAATCTGCCTTTCTTCAAACTGCGTTTCCTTTCATTTCCGAGTATTTCTATTTCTACACCGCAGCACTAACTAGTCGTCTAGACTTGTACCTACATATGTATGCATTACCAAAATATTTCTCAAATTTTCATTTGTGCTTCCGGCTGACAACGGTAGGCGCACTGACTCCATTTGGCGTGAAGCCGTACAACCGTTTTTCCACACATTAACTTCCCAGAGCAGTTTCCACTGTTTTTCGGAGTTACGATGAGGCTGTCGTTTAATAAACGGAAGCGAAAAACTAGCAGGCAGAAATGAGGACGTCAAGAAATTTGACGCGCCAGCACGTATCAGTCGGGCCCTCTTCTGCAACGTCTTTTTCCAGTCATTCAAGCACAATCCCTAATTTCAAAATTCTGCGCAAAGTGACTTACAATCAAATGTACAGCAGCAACAAAAGCAGCCAATGTAAGCACAGCTAGGGAAGATGAGGCCAGGCATGCGGGACGACTCGTACGGTTGCTATGCTCTAGAAGCAATGCAATGTCGCAGGCCAACGACACATGCCATACTAACATCTCCCCGAGCATCGGAAAGGATCGACTTCGCCAGCAAAAACGCTACGGCAATTCAAGCTCGCGGCGGAGTTGCATAGTCTTGAGCTCGTCGTTGTTCGCTCGCCGCAACGCTGACGGCGCCGTCAAGCTATGCTCTCAAAAGAAGTCCAACATATCATTTAGGCATCGTCGCCTTCGTTTAGTTGTTGTCGTCGACGCACTTGCCCAATCTGTTCTCATCACGAACACTTTTCACTGATAAGCGTAAAGCCTGTCTTTTTTTGCACCTTCACACCTAAGCTAAATGTACTTCACGTAAGCTAGGTAAGTCCTTATGGACGAGTTCGCTTTGTTTGCTATTCATCTCTGTAGCGTGGCGAGGCGTCCAGAATTTCACTAGGAGTAAACACTGCCTTAGTTTTCGGCCATGTCGTAAAACGCGTGTATCTAGCGGATTTGTCTGCCACTACCAATTTAAACCTTTAATTCTTCAATGATTGCACCTGAAAGATGACTAGGCATAAGCGAACAGCAATTGCGAAAAAGTCTTTGCACATTACCCTAGCCTGGTGCTGCGGCCCTTATTTGCTGATGTTATTCCAACGGATCGTTCTTTTTGCTTACCCAAAACCGCCAGATAAATAGTAGCGCTTCGTTTCTTGTTGGTCATCGTTTTTCTATTGGCAGTGGTGCCAGACTGTAGACCCATTCTCTTCTTCTCTCTCTTTATAAATATACATACATATATATGTATATACCACTGCTTTCACACTCTTTTTTTGTAATAACGGTAGTTAACGGCGACCTCATCCAATAGTATCTCATTTCTCAGGCAGTTAATCCCTTATGTTTCCAGACTACTTTTCCTCTCTGGGTTCTCAACATCAGCTGCCCCAGTGTGCTGCTGCCACTGCGATCATTCTTTGTAATAGATTGATGCATCGCCACAAACGGAGCGATTGACCGGGAGGGAAAGGGGCCGGTTTTGCGTATTGTCGATAAGTGTTCCTTGCCCTTTGTTCTCTTTTGCCACCCTTCTCCTACTTTTACCATGGAAAGTTACTATACGTCTGGCCTACGTAGAACATACCGTTCTTGCGACCGACTGGTCGTTCGAGTATTGTCTGTCGTCTTTTTAACTTCAGTCTTTCCATCGCATCGTTTGAGCAGTCTCATAGAAGGAAGTCATTAGAAACGCTCATTCACTGTGTTCTGCTTACTATCCTTCAGGATTCCATCGGACCCCTATTGGTGGGTCTGTGCATATTGTAGCGGCTAGAAAAATTGCTGCCTCTCGTTTTCCGATTCGCTTGTATTCGTCGTCATGTCGTTGATGGCGGGCATCACTGCAGTCATTGGACGACAGCCAGAAAGAATAAGTAAGGCGGAAAATGTCATGGAAGGTAACAAGGGATGAACGAAACATACCGAACCTTGGCATCCATGAATCCTGTCGAACCTGAAGCTTGACAAAAACAACATTCTGAACATGAGTCGGTAATTTCCCTCAACAGGTACTCATTTGAAAATAACCATGATGATAGTCATTTTTATTTTTTACTGCTTCTTATGACGTTGCAAGGCCATGTTATTTGTTATGTTTACGAAGAAGTGAAATTATCTGATCTAGACTGCGAACATCATGTATTATCACGTTATTCGAATATAGTGGTATACATGATCGTGCATGTTCTAGACCTTTATCAAGTGGTAGAAATTTTTCCTTCACGAAACCGTTTTTAAATCGTTATAAATTTATCGTAGGAGCTTGACTGAAGCTTTTTGTCTAAAAAACATTTTTTACTCATTCTTAGTTAAAAATGTAGACAGCGTGTCTTTATTGACTAACAAATACTATGACGAAAAAACGCTAACTGGCTTGAATCTTGTACCCACTGTCATTTTAGCATTCAATACTCGAAGACGAATGGCGTCACACATAGATTACCCGGACATGAATAATCCAAATGCAAAAGAGGCTCTGCTAGGGTCATCTAATTCACTGCTTTGTTCGATATTGTCACACTCATTGTTTCTACTACTATATATCAAGCCGCTGCATTTTATATTGAGGGATTCATGTTTTGAGCTTGGTCTATTGAAAGCGCTAAATCTATGGAATGTCGTGCTCTTCCCTCGCTCCATGTTTACCAAGCATCCAGCGACCTCGGTCTTGACCTTATCGTACCGTATCGTTGTTTTTGTTTCCCCTTGTCACGAAGCCTCTAAGCCATTCTTTTCAGTCTTCTCTGCAGCCACTCTGCATACCTACCCAGCCAACCGCCAGGTCCAATATTTGTCTTCCAGTTCACGCTCCTCGTCGCTCGTTCCTTTCACGCTTACTCCACTTTCTACTTCGGTCAGGAACAGACTCGAGGCTGACCTGCCCAGCAACATCAGCCTCTCTCTAAACCTCATTTAGAAGAGCAGCAGCATCTATCGTGGTTCGCCCAAATGCTTACCACAACCTCGCCTTATTCACATTCTCTGGCGCGTTTTCCTCAACATTGTCAGAACAAGGAAACCATGATTATAAATGGTGATTGTGATGATGATTTTTTGAACCTGGCATCGTTCTTTGTAGAGATTCAGATCAGGCATGCGGAAAAAAAGCAGGGCTGGGTTGCACCAGCGGTGAATTGAGGAAACATTTGAACTTAGCGCCGCGGCACCAATGCTCCAACCACTGCTGTTGCTAGTCGCGTTTGCTCGCTTACTCGTCGTTCGCTTCTGGGTCGTTTGTCCATCGCGAGGACAACGCCATCTCCACCAATAGGCTCCACCCATGCGCCTGCAGCGCTACTCAACACGGTAGTAATGCGTGGGTCGGCGTATATGTATATATATATTCATATATATATATTCAAAGTCGGGAAAAAGGAGATCCTAGAGTAGTGGGAGGAGGTAAAGACAGAATCAAGGAAAGATTTCGGCTGCAATCGCCGCGCCGTGGCCGCTGTGTACCCGAGGGGCAATGGCGACGGCTGTAGTTGGCTATCATAAGAAAGGACGACGACGAAGAGGAATGGATAGATCGATTGCTGCGCATTGGTCCTGCCAAGCTGTTCTATTCGGCTGGAAAGAGTCTAAAAACAGGGGCGTGGTTAGAAAAACGGTACCTGAGAAATGAAGAAGCACTCCCTATACTCTAGGTTTCAGCTTTTGCTGTCTTTGGCTGCTGCTGCTGCTTGGAGATATATAGGCTCACAAGGTAGTTCTTCTAAGTAGAGTCACAGTTTCACAGATGTGAGCACGTAGAGAGGCAAGCACGAATCCTATAAACTCCTTCAGCTTTTTCTCTGATAAAAATAGAAAGATATACATTAAAAAGGAAATAATAGAAAGCGAGAGTGAAGGACAATGAAGGGGGGAGAAATTTCGTGTGCGTTGAGACAATCGATGGCTAGCCATCCAATCAAACTGATTCCAAATCAGCTGCCCGCGACGGTTCTAATTGCCGCCACCCGTTTATCCATGGACAACCCTTCCAAATAAGAACTGTTTTTGGTGGCGACTGGCGGGACTCGGCCAGAATGTAGTTCACCTCATAGTGCTCGTTCTTCATTTGCTAAATAAATTCAGTGTTAAGCCTAATATAAGGACTAAATAAATCCAACGTTTTTTTTAGTTTCGACACCGCTGTTCTTAAACGCAAATTTTATGTATATAAATACAAACAAAACTTATAATATGTTACATTAAAAGTGGTCGGTTTAAATTATGTTCTTGATTAAGGAAGCAGCCGGTAGCGAACGAGCTCGGATGAATGTGCGAATGTTGAAGGTAGAGATGCTTATTTTAATGGTGAGATTTGCAGACGAAAGGTGCTGCTTTAGCGGAGAATACAGAGAGGCTTTAAAAGAATCGGGGTGCATGTTTGGACAAGCTCATTTTTTAACCCACGAGAGCTGTGGGTTCCGAGTCGATGTCGACGCAATGATCATCTAGTATTTTTAACAATTTATGTGTAACACGCTTTGAAAAGGAAAATTTCTTTGAAAGCCAGTACGAACATTGTGATTGAGAATGAATTCAAAGATTTCGTAATATTATCGATAAAGCTGTAATTCTATCAACAATATAGCACTATAATATTCGAAAATACCGCTAAAAACCAGATAAGACCAAAAGGTTTACGTTGGCAAAATACCAAAGCGTTATGATATTGATCCTTCCTCTTTTTCTGGACTTGTGCAAGTCCGTCTTCCGCTTCGTGTTCTCACCACAACTATACAGATGTATACAGAGTGGCTTGCCAATCGCTGGATGATGGCGAACATCTAAGCCGTTTTATGAACTAAACCAAAAATGTCGGCGCAATGGTACGCCCTCGGGCCAAACGGTGGATGTCTGTGCTTGTATGTTCGTGTCGCTGTATTTCATCGTAGTGCCAATGTCTCGTTGGGCATGTCAAGCAGATGAGTAACAGGCCGACTGTGAACTAGTAGATGTTGCAGCATAACGGCGGCACTAGGAGCATGTAGGAGAAAAGGAAGGGGAAGAAATTGCATCGACATCGTCCCTCTTGTCGCACGTCCTCCGGCCTGCACTTGGCTGACAGTCACAGTAGTAGCTCCGTAGGTTTTCTAACAGAGTTGGCCCGTTTGGCCTGCCTACACAGTCGTTCACACACCAGCAGACGCTGGGAATAGCGTTAGAGCTGTCGAACGGCAGATTATACGTATCACCGCTGCTATTACTATTACCTCTGCCGTAGATGGAAAAATAACATTTGTGCTCTTTCACTTCGTTGTCACTTAACGACCGTGCGAGTGCAAGTCGGGGGTCGCTGCTGTAGCCGAGGGACCACCACCGCTCGAACGGAGGCGATGACGGTCTATTAAAAGTACCTGGGGCCTGACCTTGTGCTTGTTTCCAAACTCCACATTACAAATTGCTGTAACTTTCTTTCTTCTTCGCTCTCATGACGCGCTCCCATCGTGCGCGAACGTTTGAGAAAAGGAAGCAAATAAAACTCCTCGGCCACCTGGTTGGGCAGCGCGGAAACCCTCTGTGTTGGTGTCAACAAGCGACATTTGTTGCTGGTT